GAAATATTTTTTTTACTAATTTTTTATTTATTTATTTTAAATTTTTTGGCTTTGGTTTAATTATATTTTCCATTTCAGTTATCGTGTTATATAACAGAAATAATCATAATTTAGTATATTTTTTTTTTTCTGACTTAAAAGTTCAATATTTTGAATCAATATGGCGATATTTTAAGGTTATGTAATCGTAATTGTTTCTCAATTAATTTGAGTAATTTGAGACATTATTTTTTTAGCAATTTGGGATTAGATTAGATTTGATATTCAGAATAGCAGGTTTGTCAACGTTGTGCTAAGTTACTGTAGGCAAATTGAATTATGGTGATATCCTACCGACTATAACTTTCAGGTAGACGATATAATCCAAAAACAAAAAAATGCTGATACACTTGAACATTAATTTTAAATTAGATGTGTAAATGGTTTACTGTTATTGTAAATAATAAAAGAACCTGTAGGAGTAGGTTAGGTTAGAGATAGAAGGAATGTGCACCTCTAATGCTGATCAATAAGGTATCCCTCTACGACATATCCTTCCTCGATGAATCTATTCAAGTTTCTTGAAGAAGTTTACCATATCCCTTATGGACGCCCCTAAAATCTCCTTCACACAACCGAGTCTCATAAAAAAAAATTCTCTGTATTAGAATAAGGTATACAATACATGCTTATGAGAAACCTCAACGTACTTACACCTAAGACAAACATCCGACCTTTTTGTCATTTTGTCCATTAAGTATTACCCTGTCAAAATAGGGGCAAATCGCCCGTGTTTATCTTCTTCAAAGCAAGTTCTTCCTTGTTTTTGCTTCCTTGTCCATAAAGTTTTCCAAGGCCCCCAATAGCAAAAACACCGAATAGCTCAGTATTGAAATATCTTCAGTTCACCAATCTTCTAACATTACTGGGCTCCGAAACCCTCGCATAACGTTATCAAAACTGCCCTTCATATATTACAAATTGCGTATTTAAAAGGTAATTTTTGAAATCTTAAAGACATTTTTCATTTCCTCATCTTGTTTCAAACGTGTTAAAAGAATCAGAATGGTTACATTAAAGAAAGTGGTATATAAACTTTAAACTGCACCCATTCAATTGAAAAATTCATTTGATTATTTTAATTTATAAATCGCAAATTAAAATTTTTTTTTATAATATTTCTCAAAATTCAAAATCATTCCTTATGTGTTCATTCTGACGAATTTTCAACTTTTACAACATTTTTAATATAAAATTTTGAACATAAGAAATGGGTAAACTGTTAACAATGAACGAGAAATAATGCCCATGCAATATTGTACTTTAAGCACAGTGTGTGGTAAACAATAGAAAAAAAAAAGGAAAAGGTCTAAAGAAAAATGTGAAAGGCTAACGCAATTTAGTGTTGTAACAGCAGAAAAAAATTTAAAAATAATAACTACACATTTTTTTGTTTTGTTGTTGGTTCTCTTCATTTTCTTGCTAAAGAAAGAGTATGCACGTGTTACTTATTAAAATTCGTTATTAAAAACGTTAGGATTATTGATTACCGTAGCACGTGTTTAACTGTGTATAGAATCTAAAGAACATTATAACGAATGAATCTTAAATGTGAAAAACAAAATTAAGAGAGAGAAAAAAGAAAAACACTTTGTAAAAAAAAAATCATTTAAATTTTTCATTTCTTAAATTCTATTCTACCATTCACAATTATATTAATGTATATATACATACACCAATACTAAAATGTAATACAATTTAATCCTGCGAAATGTTATAATACAAAAATGTTACGTTACGAATTACGGATGCGTTCCTTAACTAGCTAGGCTATTGCCTTTTTTTTTCCTTAAATGTTCAGGAAGATTTGTTTTTTCATTTTTTTTCTGTTCTTTTAACTAAATTCTCGCCTTTGATAAATTATTACTATGAATCCGATGTGTTTTGAATTTTTATTATCTATTAAGAGAAAAATGCCGATATAATAATAATATATTATTATTATTTTGGTGAAAGTGAGAGAGAACAGATTTAATATCAGCAAAATAGTATATACTAGTCGTATACAGAAGAGGTAGGTAAAGCAGATAAAAAACAATTCAATATGAACGAAAGAGAAGTTTATAAGAGATTTACAAAAAAAAATAAAGAATAATGATATCGGGATTCGGGATGCTGTGTTGTGTTATGATGACAGCCGCATTGTCACTTTGTTGTTATACAAGCAAATAAACGAGAAAACAAAAAAAAACAAAACAAAGATAAAAATATAAAATCGAAAAAAAAGTTATAAAGTTATATTAAAAATTGGAATTGGTTAAAAAGAGAAAGAAATGGGTAAACTGTAAAAAGAAAGATATAATAATGGAGAAATGAAGAAATGAAAGATAGGGAGCGAGAGGAAGAGAAAATCAATTCCGTAAATTGTGTTTATAAAAAATGTTTGTAAGTATGTATGTATGTAAAATTCTATCTATTGAAGCGATAAAGCCATAAAAGAAAAACTATAAAGCGAAAAAGAAGATTTTCTTTTGAAAATTACAAAAAATTCTTCTTTGATTTTCGTATTTTGAAACGAGTGTCGCATTTTTTATTTTTAGTGTTATTTTTTCGTTTTTTTTTTTTTTTTGTCGTTGTAATCTTGTGGCCTACGTGTCATAAATATGATGTTAAATTTATATTCAAGTGTATTAAGGTGTAAATTTTTTTTTAGTGTAAAATTATCATTCCTTATTTTTCACCTTATTAAAATTAAGGATATGTAAGAGTTTTTTTACTAAAATTTCTTTTGTGTAGAAATTCATAAAATGTTAAAAATGATAGTATTGACTAACTGTCGATTAAAAATGATATTTCGAAAATTTGTTATTCCTTTAATTTTTTTTATAAAACTTTCTGGGATTTATGAAGTCAGACAGCATGAATTTCGTATTTACATTACGTATATACCGTATTCAATTGAAAGTTCGAAAATTGATTTGCCTCTTTTCTTATTGATTTATAATAACGTGCATAATTTCAATATTTTTTGATAATTTCAATATTTTTCTGTTCAATAATAATAAATTAGTATGAAAACTGATAAATATATACACAAAATTCTGAAATATAATAATCAAAGCGAAAAATGAGAGCTTTAACTAAATTGCATAATTTTAGGGGTTTTTGAAAATAATTTTTCTATATTTGTTCTTTTTTCCACCTTTGTCACTGGATTATCAATTGTTTTCGAAATGATCTGTATTAAAAAAATTTTTAGTTTTGTCTCTCACCATATGTTTAGAATCTCTCCGCATATTCGAATAAATTTTCTCAATTTAAATATTCCATTTTCCAAAAAAAAAAAAACGATTGTAAAATCTAATTTTCGAATATGTTTCTGATTATATCGGCAAATGATTTGCAATCAACGGTGTAATCTTTATTGAGATTATAAAAAATTTTTAAATTTTTTCATTACAGCTATTTTTTTTTTTTTATAAATTTCGAAATTTAGTGGAAGATTCGAATTTTTTTTTTGGGTTTTTTCTCTTTATTTAAATGGATGTATTAAGTATAATTTGCTAGATATTTTCAATTTGGATTAAATTAAAAATTGAATTTTAAATTACAAAAAGAAAATAAGAAAAAAAATATTTGAAAAAAAACGTCTGTTTTAGATATTGTTTCAGATATGAGCAAATAAACGAGTATACTTTTTCTTTTATAGAAATTAAGATAAACGCTGACATTAAAAAAAAAAATTGTGAAAATTTAAAATTTTATCTAAAAAAATTGTAAAAATTTTTGTAGATTCCAAGTTATTTGTTTGCTATGCGAAATTGAGTTTTTTCTAAAAAAAAACAACTTGCGTGCCATAGAACTATAACATTCAATCCACTTGTATTTTAGAATCTGTCAAGTATATCACAATCACAGCAACATATTCCTGCAACTTAGATTCAAGATTATTCAAGTTAAAATTCTGTTGTCTGTAATGGAGTTTCTAATATGCTGCAACTGATTGGATTTATGTCTAAAGTTTTATTAAAAAAACAGAGTACCTACTGCTCTTACTGAAGTTGAGTAAGTTTTAATGAAATTTTCATTCTGTATTGTCAAAATTTTTGTCATATTTCATTCAATTCCAAATTTTCCAAATTTTAGTCGACTTCAAAATTAGGGCCCTTTCCCAGTATGTCAAAGATTTGACGATCATGTCAATCACCTGTAATTTGAGCAATTTTCAAACAAATCACTTATATGCATTAGCCTTTAAAAACATGCGAAAAAAAAACTAAAATGACAATCAATTGCGGTAGCAACATATGTTGGGATTTATGACGCTAGCGTCATGTTGCCTTGGGATTCATGACTAACGTCATTTGCATGCATTTGACGATACTGGGAAAGGCCCTATGTTGCCTCTATTAAATTAAAACGTTAGAATTAAAGCGTTAAATATCAGTTTGGCCGTGTTTTCTCTCATAAATTTTTATCAAATGACTAGCGAAGAATTAAAAATTTTTCACAAAAAAAATTATTTCTTCTTAAACGAATAATTTTCAAAAATTACCTAAAAAATATTAAATTCTGTAATTAAATTTAATGATTAAATAAATTTTTATTCTCCTACCTTAACCCTCTCTCTCGTCTCTCTACCTTCAAATGACTATTATAGTTAAACCATAATTTGTTCATAAAATTCAATTGAATGCTTTATTTTCGCATAGTGATCACATATCATAAAGCAAACGATGCTAACAATATGTAAATTTTTTTTGTATAACACATTCTCATTAAAAAAAGAAAAACACAAAAAAAAATTCTATTTTTCAATTTCATATTCTCATTGTTTTAATTAAACTGCGAATATTATTGTGTACTTCTCGTATATCTATTCAAAAACATCTCTTAAAATTTGAGTTCTCTTAAATGCAAATATTTAAATTAAAATAACATGAAATAAAAGAAAAAAACTATTTTAATATTTTTTGTACATTATAATAATTTTGTCTTTTTTTCTCTCTTTTTATTTACAGGTAAGAATAACAGAGAAAAATCATATGGATGAGAAGAGAATTGTCAAGTATAGAATTGTCAATATACACATAATATAGAATATGAACTTAAATAATATTTTTGCGAAGACCTATAATGCAATGCTGATGATATGGTATGTGTGTATAATTCATATAGCTATGCAACAAAATATATTTTGAATAACAGAAGTGGCATAAAAAGTACCTAGATGCCAAGTAATTTAATTTTATTCAAAATTAATTCTGAATATCGTGTTACGACAATGAAATGCATATGCAAATTTCTATATGAAATAACAATATTTTAGTTTTTATCTTATATTCTATTACTCTCTCATTCACACTTTCTATAATATATTTCTCTGTGTTTCTGGAAACCATTTAAAATGCAATTTGCACATTTAATTTTATTCACATATAAATGTATGTATGTGATTTTTATAATTTAACCTCATCATCAAACCATCACTAGAATCACTTTTTATATACGAGTAGTGTCATCTTGTCACCATTTTTCTGGTTTTACATAGAACTTGCTCTTCTTATCTTCTTTGGTTTTTTTGTTAATAGTGAGCTTTTAACTATAGTGAGTGTATGCACGTACTTTTTTTTTTAATATATTTTAATTGCTGTTTTTTTAATTTCTTTTACTCTGGCTTTGATTTATTCAACTTGTTAAAAAACTTAAAAGTAAAAAATAAGAATGAAAGAATAAAAAAAAAAACAACTTTGATGTAATTTTTTTTCCTTTTTGTAATTTTTGTCGACCGTATTGCATACAAAACGGGAGATTATTCGATAGCATCAAATTTTGGATGTCGAATTGAGTTTTGTATGAAACCATTTCTCTTTCTAGTACGAAAGCGTTAATATTTTTAGAGTAACTATTTCTAGAGATATGTCGGGTTGTGTGTGCGTTCGTGTATCACAAGTTCGGCTGAACCGATTTTAATAAAATTTTATATGTGAGTTCATTTCGGCTATGTCACGGATTAATCAACTTTTGTATTATGTCAGATCTATGGAACTAGACCTTTCTGTAGGCCAAATTTACATTTCTTATCATATCAACTAAATTGATTGCAAAAAATTTCTTGAAATTTAATATTTGAGTTCTAGGTTGTTACAGAAACTAACTGGTGAACTATTCAGAGAATTCGACACTAAAAGCCAAATTTATATTTTTTGAGAAGTGTTAACTAAAAGCTTACCGTCCTTCTGTAACACTTAGAGAATTTACTAAACTAAACAATATACATTGCATTCGGTTATACGGTGACCACATCAGTTTTTTTTTTATTGGTTGATCATTAGGAAAAGATTTAGTTTACAATATTAAAAAAAATGAAAATGGAAAAATTGTGGAAAAATTAAATTTAACTTAATTTATTCAAAAAATGGATGATTAATTGTTGACTGATACTTTTCGATATACATTTAAAGTTGGTTTTGAAATATATTTAGAATTAAAATTAAGATTTGAAGTGGTCATAAGCCATCATTAAAAATAAAAATTTCTAATTAAATTAATGAAATTTTCTGCACTATATAACACTATAAATACGTATAACATTTCAATTGTATAACACTTTTAATTAAAACAAAGTATACACGTAGCATTCTACATAGATAAGATTTTAAATAAGATTATAAAGAGAGCAGTTGATAGCTCCATTTGTTTCAGTTGATAGCTCCATATTTTTATCTGCAAAAATTAATGTGAAATTTTCAATATGCTAAAATGTAATTTCAATATGTAAAAGTGCAAAATTTCATAAAAAATAGCGGTTTACTTACAATGTACTCTTAAATACTTCTAAAATTTGAGAGAGGTGAGTAGACATGAGAAGCATGTATGTCAAGAAATTCAAATATTTTTAAAGAAATTGATCTTTTGGTATATTTTAGCTTTCAAAGAGAAAACTCTTAAACTTTAAATAAAAAGGACATTAGAACAAGAAACTTTTTTATGAATCTTCGATTTCTAAAGATTTTGTATATGAAGATGAAAAGTTACTGAAGCAGCAACTACTTGTATATACGAAAACAAAAAATATTGTAATCCAAACACAATTTTAAACAAAGCAAGCAAAATCTTCTTTAACATTCATAAGAATTTCTAGTTCCGTGTCTTCTCTCTAACTTCACTCAACCACATATAAAATTTTTATTTTCTTATTCTACAATAATTTTGTATATCAGAAACCGCATAAAAATATAAAAATAACACAATCAATGAATATTTTTTTTTAACTTAATAAAATAAGGTTTTCACTATATTACACAAGAGTTTCTACTAAATTAGATTTTATTTTTTCAAAGTAAGTTTTTTTTCCTTGTTTCATCTCCCTTTTGTATTTACAAAAAAAAAAAATGTGGTCAGCACATAACCGGCCGCATTGTGTATTGTCTAGTTAAGTGAAAGTGTTACAGAATATTATAAAAATGTCTGTTAAATACTTCTTTCCAATTTTTAGGACATTAGTAAGCTTATAGTTAACATACCTTGAAAAATGTAAATTTGGCTCTTAGTACAGTTTCGTTTTGTGCTACCCGAATTTTCTGAAATGCCCACCAGTTAGTTTTGGTAATAACCAGAACTCAAATATCAAATTTCAAGAAATTCCATCAATTCGTTCCGTAGATATGGTGAAAAATGTAAAAGCGGCCCGCAGATCAGTTTTCGAGCCCTGATCTTTCCAAAAAATTTACATGTTCATTGTTTTTATACAGGGAATTCAAATATTAAATTTCAATGAAATCGGTTGATTATTTCTCTTTATATACACAAAAATGTATATTTGGCCCGTAGTAAACGTCCAGTTGCTGATGCCTGATTTCTTCCAAAAGTTAGGAGGTTTCATCGCCGATAGAGCAAAACTTATATATGAAATTTCAAGTAAATCGGTTGAATATGTTCTTCAATATGCTCAAAAATGTAAAACAGGCCCGCTAAAAAGTGCAGTTCCCGAGGCCTGATATATACCAAAAGTTGATCGATCCGTGCCATGGTAGAAACAAACTTACATATAAAATTTCATCAAAATCGGTTCAGCCGAACTTGAGATACACGCGACTTTTGTATTTACGTAACCGAATTTATATAAAAAAAAAATATATAAAATATATTTTTTTTATTCTTTTTATTTTTATTTTACCAAAACCTTATAATACAATATTTTATTAATAATTTATTAGAACACAATTTATTTTATATTTAATTTTTATTTATTATTATTATTTTCTTTATTAACAATATTATAGTATTCTTTTATACAAGAACTGAATTTGAGAAATTACACGTTATGTTTATAACTAGGAATTAAAGACTATTACTCTATTGAATTGAAGACTATTACTCTATTGAATTGAAGACTATTACTCTATTGAATTGAAGACTATTACTGTATTGAATTGAAGACTATTACTGTATTAAAAACTATTTTTCTTCTCTATTTATACTATTTTAATTTGATGATCTTGTTTATTATTATTAATAGACAATCCTTTGTTTTCAAGATCATTTACAAAATTGTTATTTTATCTATCAGGAATAACATGGAATATTTTTATATTGTCATATTTATTTAAGTATATTTTATTCTTTATCATTTTCTTAAATTTAATATTTTTCAATATCAAGAATAAACATGTCTTTATTACTTTGTTTATTTACTTTTTCTAATACTTTATCATATTTGTTTTGACAACATGTTGATTCTTGATTTTGTTTATTAACATTGTTTTCAGTAGGTTATCCTTATCTTTATTCTTAACTTCTTTACATTTTAAAATACTAATATTATTGTCAATCTTTATTATGATGGTCTTTTTATTATTCTTTGTTTCAATCATCAATAACGGTCTACCTAGATAATGTTATTATCTTTCTTTGTTCTTTTGTCAAGACATGTTCCGTTTTGTTTACTTAAAATATCTGTTACTTTATTATAAGTAGGTACAATACTATTTAATGTGTTAGTGTTAGGTAAGGATGTAACTTCTCCCCCCCTTAGTCTGGAATTCTCCTGAATTCCACCTTTAGAACAGAAAAATTTCTTTGTACAGTACATGATAAGAATTGTTAATGGGACTGACATTATTTTCAAAATTGTTAACATTATTATATTTTGCCCTATTGACATAGTTTTAGAATTATTTGTTGATTCCTTTATTTCTTTAATATTATTTTCAAATTTTAAAATTATATCTTGAAATGTAATTTTGTCTGTAAAATTTATATTATTAATCGTGTTTGGGTAATAAAACCTTTCTTTTACAATATCTCTGGTATTAGAAAATTCGTTATCTAATATTTTTAAAGTACAGTTGTTGTAATGAATTAATACATTACCATTAAGAATTATTTTTCTACCATCACAATTTTGTTGAATTGGTAAATCATGTGCATTCTTTACAATTATTGTTTCCTCGTCAATTTCTATTGTTTCTAATAATACGTTTTTTACTAATTTGCAATTATTTTGAAAAATACAATGTTTAGATTGACTTAATTCATTTAATGTTTTTAATGGTTCATATTTGTAAGTTTTATTATAAAATTCTATAATTTTCTCTGATACATAATCAATTTCCTTATTTATTTTATTCGGAACAGGTATTATTATTTTTGCCTGGACCTCCGTAAAAGTTTTAGGTATTTTAATTGCAAAAATTATATAATTGTTTTTAAATTTAGTGACTCCTAATTTAATATATTGCATTTTCTCAAAATCTATTTTGTATTCTTCTATTTCCGAATTAGTCAGTATGCTGGGATGTAAAATTCCATGCCTAGCAGACGCTAAATTCTCTTGTATAATTTCTACTTTATTTTTTAAAACTTGAATCTTTAAAAGTTGGTCATTAAATAAACTGTCTTTAATATTTATATTAATTTTATCAAGTTCTCCTAGTATTAATTTCCTGTCATCTAATATAACTTTTCCTAATTGTTTCAAAGTTTCGTTAAATTGACTATTTATTTTTATTTGGCTATTTATATTGTTTATTAAATTATGGTTATTAATATCTATATTATTTAAGTGTCGTTCAATATTACATCTGTCTTCTTCGTCCATAGTACCAAACAACCATTTTGATGTACTGCCAATAACGTTCAAAAGTCCTCGTCTTCTTCTATTATGTCTGGGTATTAGTGTGTGTATTCTGTGTGTCAAGTCTTTAAGTTCTGTTAGTAATAGGTCTTTGTTTCTTATGTCTCTAT